TCTGGTATCTGGTGTGGATGGCTGTTTCTCTAGGTTGCTCAGAGTGAGTCTGAGCAGGCTTCAGGCTGGGCTGCGCTGGATGGAGTGGTACTAACAGGCTTTGGGAATATGGGTAAAAGCTCCTTGCAATGTCCTCAACCAGGTAGCAAGCTCTGGCTGCACCACCAACCAGGAATCCAGAGGAAGCAAGCTTCAAAAATTCTACTGGTATTATTCGGTGCTGAAAAGAAATGAACTATCGAGCCGTGAAAATGCATGGAGGAAACTTAAATGCATATTACTAAGTGAAAGAAGCCAGTCTGAAAAGGCTCCATACTACACGAGGTCAAACTATATGGTAATCTGGAAAAGACAAAACTATGAAGATGGTAAAAAGATTAGTGGTTGCCAGGGGCTAGGAGAGAGGGAAAGATGAATAAGCCAAACACAGAGGATTTTTAGGGAAATAAAACTATTCTGTATAATACTATAATGTTGGATATGTGTTTGTCAAAACCTGTAGGATATACAACACCAAGAGTGAACCCTCACATAAACTATGGACTTTGGGTGATAATGATGTGTCAATGTAGGTTCATCAGTTGTAACAAACGTCCCACTCTGGTAGGGGATGTTGATAGTGAGGGAGGTTGTACTTGTCTGGGGACAGGGAGTATATGGGAACTCCCTGTACTTTTAGTTCAATTTTGCTGTGAAGCTAAAACTGCTCTAAAAAATAAAGTCTATTAAAAAAATTGTACTGACAATAATATGTGTAAATGTTACAGTAGAAGAATTTTTTTGTCTGGGATCTCATGTTTTAAAGACAGAGCAGATGTGAACATGTGAAGTGAGGAAGTAAAAGAAATATCTTATTTGCTTTCCCCCTCCCCAAACAACAGTTTAACTGTCCACAGAGTATTGGGATTTTGCCTGGAAAGAAAGGGGGTGAAATGCAGGCTGGGTGAGCCCTTCTCCACGCCCGGTCAGCAACAGTAGATGGCCACAGGGGCTGTTGGCATGAATCTGACGTTTTGCCTTTGCTAGTGGGTTTTCCCTGTGAGGTGAGCAGACCCTGTGCCCCAGCCCAGCTTCCGCTAAGACCAATGTTGACAGCTCAACAGCGCACTCCTTCCCCATCCTCACTTTCTGTTGGTGCTGAAGCCTTACGGGACATCCTTAATCCTCATCCCAAGACCTGTGAGCCGCACAAGTGTGGGTCATATTCAGTCTCTATGCTCTAACAAGCTGTTACTCAATCTAAGAAATGGATGATCAATAGGTTTAAGTTCGTCACCTACTCATAAGTGGTATTGATCCCTTTAATATCCCAACTAGCTCTTGGTAAATGGAATTGAATGTTTTCAAATGTTAATTCCTACACACCATTGACAACTTAAAAAAAATTTTTTTTTTATTTTGAATAATACACATTTATTGTGGCAAAAGAAGGAGAAGAGAAAAACACCTTCAGAGATAACCATCGTTAATGGTTTGATGTATGTCCTCTTGTTTACCTGTGCACACACATATATACATATCTACATATACTTTCCTACAAAAATATACTGAATATTCTTTTCTGGTAAGTTTATTTTTTCCATTTATTAAAATTGGATGGACATGTTACTAAAGATTTATATTCAATACTAGTCTAGACAATAAGCTTTTGTGTGGATTTTCCTAATTATCTTATTGTTTAACAATTAGTATTTATTTTTCCAGTTTTTTCCTCTTCTCTTAGCTACTTCAGTGAATGTCCTATGACCAAAGGCTAAGAAATAGAATAACTGGGTCCAAAGCTGAGTGATATTTTAAGACTATTGATCATGCTTGCCAAATTATTCTATCAAACTGTACACATTTACACTGGTACTTTGCTGGTACTGCGTATTCCCCTTCCCCCAACCAACGTTTGCTAATTTGACAGTCCCCAAGTAGAATCCCATTTTATGGACTTTGACCACAGTGAGATTGAACATTTGTTCAAATGTTTTTGGCTATTAATATTTTTCTCTTGGAAGTTGCTCATTCATGTCCTTCCACAGTTTTCTATTGTTTTTTTTCTTATTGACTTATAAAAACATGTGTTGTTGGGTTTTTTTTGGTGAGGAAGATTCACCCTGAGCTAACATCTGTGCCAATCTTTCTCTTTTTTGTATGTGGGTTGCCGCCACAGCATGGCTAATGAGTGCTGTATGTCCGTACCCGGGAGCTGAACCTGTGAACCTGGGCTACTGAAGCAAAGCACACCGAACTTAACTGCTAGGCCACAGGGCCGGCCCTATAGAAACATTTTTAAACATAAAGTCTATTAGCCCTGTCATATATGGTGTCAGCATTTCTCCCCTCCATTTTTACCCTGTTTATAGTGGGGTTTTAGAAAACTATTTGATACCTTTGGGTTTCCTACATTTCTTGTTTAACTTACCTGTTACTGAAATGGCATTATAGCTCACTTGCTTTAAAGAGTTATTAAAAGGAGAATTGTATTCCCAAAACCCCCTCCAAAGCACACTATGAGCATCCAGTGGAAACATCTATGTAATTGCATTATCAACGTCTCTATCCCCACCTCAGAGAGCTGTAAAGGGCACAGTTAATTTTACTTGATCATCGGCCCCTTAGGAATCTTGGCAAATGTTTAACTTGTAGGTGAGGATATCCAAGCCAACTCAAAAATTTACTATGCTATTGGCTACAAATGGTTGCAGTGGGCTGCTGTGGGGTTTTTTTTTTAATCCTGCTGAAAAAACTTTGTCTCTCTACCACTAAATTATGACATCTTATCTCACAGACTTAACAGCATCTAGTGGTTCTATCTCCAGGTAATGTAATCCAGATGGAGATCCAAGGTATGCAAAGCCCATATTTTAGAACAAAAGGGTATTTTTCTCTAGCCAGTAAATAAAAGTGATTTTTTCAGCTATAAAAGGACAAAAGATTTTGAAATTATCCCACTGGGCACGGTTTCCTAGTTTTTTTGGCACTTGCCCATAGAGCTAACCCAGCATCTTCCAAACTTCTTCCATTTTTGTAGCAGTGTGAAGAGTTTGCTGGATGAGACTAGAGTCCCTCCGTGCTGTGATGATTAATGCCCAGGTCCTCTTTACCTAGAGGTAGCCGCGATAAGACATCTAAAAGTGTCGTCAGCAGACTGTTGATCAGCGTGTAGGAAGAGCTAAAGACTGATGCTTTTTCCTTTTAAATATCTTCACTGCCCTCTCAGGGTTGTATGTTTTCCTTTTAGAGGAAAAACATTTAACACTGTAAATGTAACAAGAAGGATAAGTGGTCCATAGCTTCGTCGAGAGGTTGTCAAAGATGTGTAAGTTGACTAAGCTATTGTTTCAGTCCATTTTCAACGTTTAAACAGCTCTGTGATATCAGGGCTCCCTTTTTGATTTTCTGTGTATGTTTTAAGCCTTGAAACCAAGAGTACTGTTGTTCATTCTCATTGCTCTATTATAAGAAGAAATGGTTCACCCCCTGGTCCCAGTCCCCATTCTGAAGACACTGCTATTGCTAGAGTCAGAGGATAAAATTATAGGAATAACATAGAACAATTTGCCTCAAAGTATGTATAGAGGAATCAGTACCACGTTGATACTTTATATGAATTACCAACAGTAAGATCAACAGCAAAAATAACCACTTGTGTCATCCCAGCCACTGTTCTAAATACCTGGGCATATTTAGTCACTTCATCCTGACAGTAAACCCGTGGAGTAGAGGACATTATTGTCCCTATGCTGCAAATGAAGATAGCAAGTCACACAGAGGTAGGTGGCTGAGCCAGAATTTGAACATGAACAATCGGACTCAAGAGCCTGCCCTCTGAACTTGATTAAATTGATACAACCCTGCAAAATTGGTGATGATGTCCCCATTTTACAGATAAGAAGTTGAGGCTCAGAAAGGTTAACACCTTTGCAATAACTTCTGACACACCTGGGAAGTGGTAGAGTTTGATTTTAAACTCTAATTCCAAAGCATTCCTCGTGCTTTCCCCCTTATACCATGCTTCCTACACTACAACTGAGTAGTAGTCCTAAGGTTGCATAACAAATTACCACAAACTGAGTGGCTTAAAACCACAGAAATGTATTCTCTCAGAATTCTGGAGGCCAGAAGTTCAAAATCAAGGTGTTGGCAGGGCCATGCTTCCTCTGAAGGCTCTAGGGGAGAATCCTTCCTTGCCTCTTTCAATTTCTGGTGGCTCCATGCATTCCTTGGTTTGCGGCAGCGTAACTCCAGTCTCTGCCTCGTCTTCACATAGCCTGCTCCTTTGTATCTCTCCTCTCTGTGTCTCCTCTTCTTCTAAGAACATTTGTCATTGGATTTAGGGCCCACCTGGATAATCCAGGATGATATCATCTCAAGATCCTTAACCTAATTGTATCTGCAAGACTGTTTCTTCAAATAAAGTCACATCCACAAAGTGGACATATCTCTGAGGGGGCACCATTCAACCCTACTCTAGGTAAACTACGCTACTCTAGGTAATGCAGTCTTTGCTGCTGTTGTGCCCTATGACCTTATCACCCAGTTAATGTTTTTCATAGCCCTTGTCGTTATTTGATGCATCTTGCTTTTTCATTTGTCTACTTTTCTGTTGCCTGTCTCACCTACTTGAATTCAAGCTTTATGAGTAAAGAGCTCTCTCCTTCACTGCTGTATTCCTAGTACCTAGACCAATGATTGGTATATTATAAGGATCAGCAAATATTTACTGAATGAATGATACCAATGAGCAAATGTCATGTCAACTTGGCTCTTTGATCCTTTCAACAATTCCCAGGATTTTATTTTATTTTTTGATATTATTTTATGTTATTTGAATTTCAGTTCTGTATTTTTGGAAATGCAAGTATATTATGGGACACATATTTAATACAACGGATAAATACATCCAATCATTTCAATATAACACTCAATTACTAACTAGTCTTCATAGTTTATTTAGCTTTTACTTTTCCCCCAGGAACAAATCCTCAGCAGAATATTTCTTTCTCCCTTAGGCTCTGATCACCTCCGGGAGAAAGATGGCCTCTGGGCTGTCTTGGTCTGGCTCTCCATTATTGCTGCCCGGAAGCAGAGTGTGGAGGAAATTGTCCGAGATCACTGGGCCAAATTTGGCCGCCACTACTATTGCAGGTGAGAAGGGTAAAGGTCGCTGGGGAACTACTCTTGGACAAGGTTTCTAAACTGGTGGGCTAGAACCTTAGGAAGGAGGCATCTTTCAGGAGGATCTGAGGAACACAGGGCTGGAGCCAAATAACCACTGATAGATGGTTAGGGGTGGTGTCAAGGACTACTAAACTGGAGGGCACAAATTTCCTCTTCTCTGGTGACATCCCTCTGTAATCCTTTCATCAGTGCCTATAAGGTAGGCAGCCGTCCCAAGAGGGGGTCTGAACTGCAGAGCCCTGAAAGGTCCTTTGGTGCCCATGAGAGTTATGTGGTCAAACCAGGAGCTTTCCTCGTTGGTTCTCCACCTATAATAATCAAGGAAGGGGGGCAGAGACAGAAGCTGCAACAGGTCGGGGTACTTTTGTAATCCTTTTCCTACCTTTGCCTTACTTCCCCACTTAATGGCCCAAACAATGTCCAAGATGCCTGAGCTGGCGCCCTCTGAAGGAGCCACATGGTTCAGGAGCCTGGGATTTTACTAAAGTTTTGTCCCCATGAAAGGAGATACACAAAAAGGAAATATTACCCTGGGGAGGATGAAGGAGAAAGATCAGTGGCCAAGAGCTTAGGGTCTGGGGTCTCTATCACTTTCCTCTTATTGAAGTGAGAGGGCAGAGTCTTCTGGCCGCGTGGTTGCCTGCTAGATCTGTGTACCCAGAAGTGTTAGGTATGTGTACCTGGTACCAAACCATGGTTTAGGGGGAGCAGTGGTGGGAAAGGAGGTTAACTGTGGAGTACGTGGGGAGCGGGCAAGGGAATTCTTGGGTAGTGTCAGATGCTCTCTGTGTGTTAAAAACAGAGCTTGTGGCTCATTTGCTTTGCTTATGAATAGTTAACTACTTTGGATGTTTGGTTGTGTTTCAAGAGCTTGGGGACAGAAAGGAAAGCTTTAGACTTCCCTTATAAGGTGATTGTTTCTTCTCCCAAGAGGTCATTTACTTAGATAAATATCAGAGAATAAGGAAGCCTGTGATTCTACTTGGTAAAATCAAAGAGGTTGCAATGCTCTGGGAAATGTAGACAATGCCATAATATTCTTGGTTCCTGTTTAGTGGAAAAGGCTGAGGATGTGATAGCCTGCAAACCCCCTCAAATTATTCACTGTGTTGTAAAATAAGGACTCTCAAGGCAGGTGGGAACTTGTTTTACTTGCTAGTGTTTCTAACAAGTGCCAAAAAATCCTGATTCATGTGGGCTTCTTTGGCATACCAAAGGGCTAATTGGCACAGCAAATCCTTCTGTTGCATGAAGCTGTTCCAAAAAGTCCAACCTGAGAAAATATATTATGATTGCCAACCTCTCTCACTTAGTGAGTGCGCTTTTGAGTCAGGGATGTGTTCCTCATAATTTGTGGGATGATTATCTAGCTTTCTGCCAATGTTTTGAAGATGTGGTGTTATGATAAGTGTATTTATAATATAGTTCATTTTTTGTGGCCAAGAGCTTACATGATAATTACTTTTTTCATAACAAATACCATATTAGAAAATATAATGCAATAAGATTTAAATTCTTGTAGGACACTGAATTATGTTTCAGATTTCTGTCCAAAAAGATCACAGAGATAAAGAAAAAGGGAAGAGGGAATAGGTAGAATGAAAGGTAAACATTTCCTCCAGCCTCCCGCAAATGCAGGTTGAAAGATGCTTGTGAAATAAAATGATTTCTAGCCTGACTGTTTTATTGGTGGAGAGGAGATAATAAAACAATTTTGGTTTAACTAATACTGAGCCTGAAGTTGTATCTGAGAGTGCAGATGATTTTCCTTGTATAAGTGGACCCCAGAAGGAATTCTCCATTTCAAGTTTTCTTCCCTTGAAAGTGTGTTGGTGGTGGTGGTGGTCAGAGGGGTTTGTTTGTGGTAGTGAGGGGGAGGTAGTGTTAGGACCTGCTGGTGTATGAAGATGGGCATTTGGGCAGGCTGGTCTGATGACCTCAGCCATAGACTGAACGTGATTTGTCACATCAGAAGATTTTCTCAACTTCCGAATCTCTTTCAAAGCCTCTCTATCTGTTACTAGACCCTCTTCTTCCATCCTCCTGCCCCTTTCTGCTTGGTTGGGTCTTTACCTTCCACAAAAGACTATCTTGAAAGAGAATCTAGGCTCAGAACACATACACTGCTGAGAAAGAATGTTCTGAGAGAGTTCCCTGTTGTTTTGTTTCTGAGGTGGGGAGGACATACCTTGCATAGGAGGGAGAGAATAAAAGAAAGGGATATAGGTGCAAGGACCCGTTACTAGACATGGTAACTTTCCATGTCCTCCATTTTGGCTACTGATGTTTGCTGGAAGTCTTAAAAGATCTTGAGTGGAAAAAAGTAGTAACGACTATTCAGACCTTTGTTGTTTCAGTTCACTCTGAGAACTCCCATCCTTTCCCTGTGTTACAGAGAGCCCCAATGTGAGATCTCACCACAGCCCCTTGAGCACAGCGGCCCCTCTTTGGGCTTCCTTCTTCAACAGACCCCCCTGGGTGTGCCATTAGGTCTTGGTCAAGACTATCTGATATCGGGAAAGACTCTACAGTTTCTTTATGGTAGTGACTGAGAATAAAAGTAACTAATAGTTTTAAGCACTGGTATCTGGCACTGTGCCAACTACTTGGTGTGTATTATCATATGTAAACCCCATGACAACAAATGAGATAGGTGTTATTTTTAGTCTTTTTTTTTTCTAATCACCTCCCAGCCCCATTGTTACATTTGATGTTCTTGGCTAGGAGGCCTTCTTTTAATGGAAGAGTTGTGATATTTCTTCCAAGTTTCCAAGAGAGTGTTATGGTACACTGAGCTCCCTTCCTTCTTCTCTCTTCGCCTCTCTTGATTCCTCTCTCTCCTTCCTTCCTCCCATCTCTCATTCCACTGCTTACAAAACACTACGTACCAGAAGCAGCAGAGAACAAAACAGGTAAGATCTCTGTCCTCCTGGAGCTTACGGATCTCGTGGGCAAAGACAGACAAGAAATAAGTAGACAAATATACAAACCAGGTCAATACAGATTGGGATAACTACCAAAAGAAAATATACAGGGTGATGAGAGAGGGGGAGAGATAGAAGGAAACTATCTTAGATGGATGGTCAGAGAAGGTCACTTTCTGGAGGTGACACTAAGTTTGAAAACTGAAGGAAGAGAATGTGTGGGCTATTTGAGTAGCCAGGGAAAGAATATACCAGTTATAGGGAAAAGACAGCAAGAGCAAAGGCCCAGAGGCAGGAAAGGGCAAAGTGTCTCTGAGAATCTGAGGACTGGAGAGGAGGCCTGTGGCTGGAACATAGTGAGCAAGGCGAAAGCGGACCAAGTGCAGTGAAGGAGGGGGCAGGGTCAGATGCCACAGTGCCTTATAGGCTCTGGTTAGGGTTTTGAGTATTGTTCTCAGCAAGACGGGCATTTTTGGAGGGATTTAAGGGAAAGGGCTGACATGATTTGGTTTTCACAAGATCCCTCTGGCTGGCGTGTGAGGAACGGATTGTAAGGGCCAGGTGGAAGAGGGGAGACCAGATGGGGGTGCTTTTCTGTGCAGTTCTCCTGTGGAAACAAAACCATTTCGGTGACCTCAAGAGGGCCACTCAGTTGCTGATCCTCTGATTTGGTTTGTGTTCACCCTGTGTCCTTCCCTCCCTCACCAGGTTTGACTATGAGGGGCTGGAGCCCAAGACGACATATTACATCATGAGGGACCTGGAGGCCCTGGTCGCAGACAAGTCTTTCATCGGCCAGCAGTTTGCTGTGGGGAGCCATGTCTACAGTGTGGCGAAGACAGACAGCTTTGAATACGTGGACCCCGTGGACGGCACCGTGACCAAGAAACAGGTACTTGCCAAGAAATCAGCAAAACAGGTTATCAGGCAGAGCTGGGGGCCATAGTGTCCTAGAGCTGGAGAGGTCGTAGGAGTGATCTACTCTGAGCCCTTCATTTTACAGATGAGAGCCCTGCAGCCAGGAGAGAGGGAAGCCCCTGGTGAAGCTTGCCTACCTAGTTAGTGACAGAGGGTGGATTAGAACACAGCCCTGACTCTGTCTAGTCTCCTTTCCGCCTGGTAACTGATGCGCCAATACTGTAAATAGATATAGACCCAACATTTCCTTCTGAAATGTTTGCAGCCTGCAGGCTCTCTATGTGGTGGCCATTACTGGTGACAGATTCAGAAAAGTTTCCAAGAGCAAAAGATCCCTTTCCTTGGGACCCCCAGGTGAAGGGATGTTTCACCTGCTATTACTTTATGTCCTGGAGGAATGACAGGAGCTTAGCCAGATAGGTTCGTTATTCCTGGTAGAGGAAGAAGCAGTTGGAAAATTTGCCCCCAAAACACCGCAAAGGAAGATTTATAGTTGAGAATTATTTATGGTTGAGAATTATTATTACCATAGATAAGTGGCAAAATCAACCACAACTTCTGTTATGGTCTCATCTTTGTGAATTGTGTAAGAGAATTTGAAAGCTATTACAACGTTTTTTTTCTCTATTTTGTTTATTTATTGGCTATGGCAAATGTGGACCACTCTGGGAGCACATTTTAACATTTAGAGTCTAAATAAGACGCTCTGAGTAATGTTAAGAGAAGCTCCATTCTAAAATCCCCAAATTCTTGTCTTCTTATACATACTTCACCAAGTACAGTTAAGTACATCAGGTACTTCACCAAGTACAACAAAATAAATCAGAAGCTGCATGTTTCTGGGGAATAGATATAATGGTGGATACTGCTATTTTTATTTTGACTAGTATATCATACATACTCCCTGTCCTAGAGTCCCCTGCCGTGCAGATGTTCCAAAGCCCGATGCCCTCTTGTTACTCTCTTGGTATTCTCCCTCTGCTCTGCTTAGTTTTAGGGTGATCTTTCATCTCTATCAAAATGTCAGTCTTTCATTCTAGAAGCCCTTCGATGGCTGGACAAATTGATTACAGTCTTACTTTGGAAAGGTGTAGGGTAGTGGAGAAAATTGTGGTTCAGAAGTTTGAAGACCCAGAATCAAATCCTATCCCTGCCACTTACCAGTTGTATGACTTTGGGAAAGTTGCTTGATTTCTTTGAGCCATGATTTCTTCCTCATCTGTAAAATATCTGTCTCAAAGAGTTGTTTTAGAAATGGAATGAAATAAAATACACAAAAACTCCCAGCTCTCCTTTACACAGGGAGTGCACACTACATTTTTTGTAGCTGTGTTTTGTTTCACGCAAGGAAGATTTCATGCGGAGTGGATTGAATTCTCTCCAAAATAACACCAGTGAATCCCTGGAGATGTGAAGTCAGGAGCTCAGTGCACGGCATCTTTGAGCCTCTATGCCTAAGTCTTTTCTGGTTTTGTACCATAGCCCCACTTCCATTTTACACGGGGACCTCAGAACAAACTTTTCCCAAATTCGAGACTCATGTAGAATTCAAGAGTCATAAAAAATATGCTTTCTGAAGTATCCTTGGGAGGTTTTTGTTCCCTGATGAGGAAGGCTTGAAAACCATTCCTTGAAGAGGTTACGTAGTCAATGCTAGGTTCTGGATTTTATCTACTCACGAGAAGCTTGTCTGTTGAGCTAATTTGTTTTGCAGTTAAATCCGCTAATACTCTACCTTGTTTCTTTTTTCGTGGCTTTTCTTTAACTTCACATCAGGCTAATTCCTCAGCTAGATCTCAAGTTTGGACATCTATTTATTCCAGGTTCCCTCCAACCCTGAATATTGGTTTCTAGTTTCACTCTGGAATTTATTGATTTTTTTTTTCCTTCCACACTCTTTCATTTGAGCTCAAATGTGGCCATAAATAGATAAGGGCTACCAGCACCTGCTCTTGGGGGTTTCTCTAGTAACAAAGTGAGGTTGTTCATCTTCCCAGATTCCAGGACCCAAGTGACATCTTCAATAGCTGGTGGCCCTGAGTCACACTGGAGCTTCTCTGCAGGTCTGGGTTTGGCTCAGTGAGGGTTTTGTGAGAACAGTTAACACTCAGGACATCCCCATTGTCTGCAAGTCACAGATGGCTCTTTCACCACAGTTAGTCCTGTTGGTACAGAGAGGGAGTTCCTGTATAGTGGGGCTGTTGCTAAACTTTCCCCACCGAGGCCCACATCTCGGCACTCCTGGGAGGTCAGTAGTTATGAGCATTCAATTCCAGGGAAAGTTGAGTCTGGAGCACACTTCCTGTGACATTGTTGCAAAATAAGCACTAGCCACTCCTAAAAGACATGTTTGAATTTAAATGAACTAGTATTATTTTTCAATAGTCATAAAGTACTTTGGTGTGTTCATTCAATAGACACTTCTTAAGAACCTACCAAATGCATAATATTGGTTTCTTTCATGGTGTAATTTTTTAACATAAACGTATAACAGCTTTATAACAGAGAATAACTCATATACCATACAATTCATCAATTTAAAGTGTATAAATCAATGGTTTGTAGTGTATTTATAGAGTTGTAAAGTCATTATCACAATTAGTTTTAGAACATTTTTATCACTCCAAAAAGAAACCTCGTACTCTTGAACTGTTGTCTCCCTTTCAACCCCTGGTTAACTCCTGATCCACTTTCTGTCTCTATGGATTTTCCTATTCTGGACACTTCACATAAACAGAATCATATACTATGTGGTCCCTTGTGACTGGCTTCTTTCACTAAGCATAATGTTTTCAGGGAACATCCATGTTGTACCATATATCAGTACTTCATGTCTTTCTATTGCCAAATAAATTCTGTTGTGTGGATATACCACATTTTGTTTATCCATTCATCAATTGATGGACATTTGGATTATTTTCATTTTTTGACCATTATGAATAATGTTGCTGTGAATATCATGTAAAGTTTTTGTCCAGACATAGGTTTTCAATTCTCTTGGATATATACCTTGAAGTGGAATTGCTGGGTCAAATGGTAACTCTATGTTTAACCTTTAAAGAAACTACCATACAGTCCTTAAAAGAAATTGCACCATTCTACATTTCTACCAGCAGTGTACGAGGGTTCCAATTTCTGCACACTTTTGCTAACCCTTGTTATTATCTGTCTTTTTTAATTTTTTGTTAAGGAAGATTAGCCCTGAGCTAACATCCGTTGCCAATCTCCCCCTTTTTTTTTTTGCTTGAGGAAGATTAGCCCTGAGCTAACATCTGTGCCAGTCTTCCTCTATTTTGTACGTGGGACATGGCCACAGCATAGCTGGTGAGTGGAGTAGGTCCATGCCCTGGATCCCAACCTGCAACCTGGATCCCAATCCGGACCACCAAAGTGGAGCGTGTGGAACTTGAACCACTTGGCCATGCAGCCAAGCCCTATTATCTGTCTTTTTGATTATAGAATACATAAGTTTTAAATAACCTACTATGTTATGTACTATATTAAGATTAAGACAGAAGGAGAGTTAATCTCCATAAGGGCAGACAGAAGTATGCCTTGCCTAGCAAAACCCAAAGGAAACGTAATAATGCTCTCTCTGTTTGCTCTGGGAGAGATTGCTATGATCTCTCCAGGGTTCTATCACGTTGGAGGCAGACAGACATAGATTTGAAGGCTGGCTTTGACACTGCTAGATTTGTGACTTTGGGCATGTTACTTAACGTCTCTGAACCTCAACTCAGCAGGCATGAGGGGATGCTGGTAATGATTACCATATAGGGTTATGGGGAAGGTTTGAGGACAAAGTCCTATAAAGCCCCAGGCACAGTGGCTGGTACCCATTCGATTCTCAAGAAATATCAGTTCCTCCTGGCTTACCAGAATCCTCAACTTGACTGACTATCAGTTTTAAGAAAGGATGTGAGTGGCGTTCAAGTACACAGGCTTGAAGTCAGAAAGTCTTGGCTTTTAATCTCAGCTCTGCCACCTCCTTGCTGGGTGATCTTAGGAAGTTACTCAGCCTCCCTGTGCCTTTCTCTCTTTATCTGTGAAAATAGGAATAGTAATTGTGGCTACCTCATACAGCCATTGGGAGAATTAAATAATACATGTAAAGTCCTAGCTCATAATGAACACTAATAAATGGTTAACTAAAATAAGTTATGTTAAAAGAGCATCCTTGGGAAAGAAAGATTTTGGCATTTAATAAGCCATAGATGATAAGAAAAGCAAAGAAAAAAAATACAACAATATACAACTTTGCAGGATGTCATGTAAAGATACAGGAAGGCCTCTTCAGTTTCTGAGTTATCTGTGAATTCATGCAAAGTCACATTTCTCTGCCTTCCCTAAGTCCCCCTCCTCCCCACCCCTTTGCTTCAGAAAGGAAAAAGTTTTTTTAAGACAGCTCTGTCTCCTTTTTGTCCTTGATTCGAGGTCGGAGTTAGGAAACAGACCGTGGAAGAAAACCTGTTTCACATATATCTCTAGAGATAAAGAAGAAATGCTTCTCCAGCTAAAATGAAATTACAATCCTGTTCTGGTGATAAGCCGCCCCCCACCCCCCATCCACTGCTATGGAAATGTTCAGCAAAGTCTATCCTGCCTGTTAGACCCTGTGGGGTCATTCAAGGAACAAGAAGGAAACCTCTGAGGTATTCAACCCCTGATGTGAATTCCCAGGGACCTCACTGGCCTCGCTGTGGCCTGTCGGGTCTCACTGAATTTTCTGTGGCTGCCTCCAAGGGTCGGATATTTTTGTGACTTTGGGCGTCAACAGAAAAGTTGATGTGTGCCTTCCATTAAACAGGACCCAAGAGAGACTCTCATTTAGAAATAACAATTTAATAAGGCATAGTTTGACAATTGCAATTCGTCCTTCTATTATCCCATGAGGATATGTCACTGTTTATTTTAAGGTAAAACCTAGTCGCATAAATGAATGATGATGGTTTCTTCAAATGTGAGTGGGAAAAA